ACATTGGTGAGTAAATGAATTTTATTTTACCTTTCTTCTTGTCATTTTATTTTGTTAGTATTAAATTCATGGTAACGAAATAAAATGACAAACGTGTATCAAATAAATCTGCTCACCTGCAATTTATAATGGCGCATTGTAGTCACCTTCGTGCACGAAAGTTCGTTCAATCTCAGCTGTTCGTCAGTTATTAGTTAGTCAGTTATGTCAGTTTTTTGCTGTTGTATCGCCGATTTTCAAAATGCAAATGATCTGTTTATTTTCAAAGAATAGTTTGTTTTGTTTTTGTTTGGTTGGTGTCTTATATGAAACTGCGACATTGCGCAATTTATTGGACAGACTTGTTTAAGATCACAAAGCGTAATTTGGGTGGCATTTTATTTCGTATTTTTAAATCATCTTTTTATTTTTGACTATCTGTAAATTTAGTTTCCTGCTCTTAATTGTGAATGCATACTTGATGGTTTTAAATGCTGCTGAAATTAAGTGCTGCTTGACGAGCCTATACAGTATTGCGTTCATGTATGTGACGTCACTGAAGGCCTAAGGTTGAAATGCACGGCCCGCCACTGTTAAAATGTGTACTAACTGCCTTGGCTCCAAAATATATAAGCATGCAGTATCCCCAGTTGCTATGTTCCTGGTCTAGGTGAACCCAAGGTAACTTCAAATTAAATTCTCCTCCAGTCCGACCACTCCCAAATAGGATAGTGTGCACAAATTCATTTGATGATTTTTTTTTTTCAGCCACCAGAGTGAGAAATAAGACAACACATCTATTAACCCCTACATTGTGAATGCAAACAAAAATATAAATCAAAGACAAACTCTTGACAACTGCCAACACTTGATGGTTTATAAAAAACAAAACAAAAAAAAAAACGAGTCCTTCCTCTGACCAAGCCCACGTTGTCAATCAGTCCAAATAGCAGTTCCCGCCTGTTTGCAATCTGGACACACAAAATACTAACCAACAAAACACTTACAGGAAAAAAATGACAACGTCAAAACACTTTCAAATGTTCTGTGTCTGCAAAATGGTCCTTACCACTTACCATTTTTATCAATTTTGTCATGGAGATCTACAGTATAACCTTTCCGTCACCTTTATCCTAACAAACTATCATATCCAATGGAGTTGAAGGCACTCAACAAAATTTATTCTCACTGAAATGATGTCAAAATGGCAGCAACTCCCCTACTTATTTTGCCAATGTGACATTTGCTCATGAAGCTAAAATATGTTGCTGCTTTCAGCCATGTGTCATTGATGACCAAGAAATCTAGATAATGATGTCAATCAACAGTGATTTCCGAATGAGTTTAAGAATAACATATTTTAATTGTTTGGCTTAATGTCCAATTTTTTTCTGTAACAAATTCTTCTGCCCCCCTCCCTTCAACCCCCCATCTCCAAAGGACATTTACTCAGAACTGCACATTTTACAAACAATAATTAGATCCTGTTAAAACAGTTGTCTCAGTCTGATCATAATATACTATCCTTATTTGGAATATTTACTCTTGCACAAAAAATTTCGACCCTTTCAGCAGTTAAATAATGAAGAAAATGACAAGCTTACGCAATCATAATTTGAAGCACAGGTACATGGCAGCCCCTGATAGCAACCAAATTACAAATCATCAATATTTGGTTTACTTTAGAAATTGTCTCAATTTAAAAAAAACACACTGTCGTTCATCTGAGTCAGGCCAACCCTGTGGGGATTCTGTTCACTTGTATAAAGTGAACATAACAAACGTTTGCCTTGTCTCAGCAAGCTCGCCTTTCTCCACCACTTCAAGTCATCTGCCAAACACAAAGGTCAAACAATTCCTTGCGTACCTGAATGTTTCACATTGCTCTTTTCAGTTTGGCCGTGCATGTATGTTGACAGTCAAGTTGAATGTCAGCTTGTAGGTCACAAATGGCAGCTATATCACAGCATTCTAAAGTCACCATTACCCAGTTTTCTCTGCGTGTGTTGCACATACCCTTGTGTTAACCAATGAGCTCCCTCGACCCTTGTGTCTTCATGTGTTCCTTGTTGTCTCGTCACTTTGCTTGTACTAGTTCCCTGGTTTCTGTCAATTTTTGTCCGATCGTTCTTGTTGTCACGTTTTGTTTTAGTGTTTCTTTGTCGTCTCATTTTTTGTTTTTTTGTATTTATTTGTCAGGGCATTGAATAAATCGCATCTGGACCACCTGGTCTTAGAAGATGTTTCAACTCACATCCAAGAAGGCTTCAACAAGGCTTGGTGAGGACAGACCCGTTAAGCTTCGCTAGAGATGAGCACAGGACCCACAGGCAGACGCCAGACGCAATGAACTCAGAACGGTTTTATTGCCAGGAAGCAGGACAGGTCGAGGTGGCAGGAACTGAAAGGGAGTCAGAATGACCAACTCGAGGAGTACAGGAATGCTGGCACGTAACACCTTGGCATAAGCGAGTACAGCAGGAAAGACCGCTGACAAACTGGCGATGGGTGGCTGTTCAGGCTGGCTTTTATACTGCAAGTGGCTGACGAGATGAAGACTCGTAGGTGTGTAGGGAAGGCAGGTGCACTGATTAGGGCAGGGGTGTCAAACTCATTTCACATTGTGCGCCACATATTGCATCGGTAGATGTCAAATTATACCATACTTTGCTATAAATAGCCAAAATAATATGTCTGTCCTTTGTTTTAGCCTAAAGAAGCACAAGATCATTAGGAAAATGTTGAAATTTAATGAATATATCTTTTACAAAACATTTCATGAAGCACCTTAGATTTCCTTAGACAAATGTGCAATTTACTTTTATCATTAACATTTATGCATTGCAACTGATCCCACTGATTGTACAAAGGCACACAACTTTAACAAGTAATTGGTATTGAAAAATATAGTAAAGCACTTCAAGATTAAACGAGATTTATAAAGAAAGGAATTTTTAACCATTTACACATGTGCATATAAAATCTAAATTTAATCCCTGCCTACATCCTACAAACTAAGGAGAGTGCTATTAAATGTGTAAAGAATAAAGTATTTACATGTCCTTGATAGCGTCTGCTGTGTTGGGTCTGTCTCAGTGACAGTCTGAAACTGCTGCTGTCTTCTACGCTGATCAAAACAGTTTGTGGATACTCCCTGAATTGCACCTTATTAAAAATATTCATTCCGTGTCTTTTATGCATTTTTTCCCTTTTAAATTATCCTGCGGGCCTGATTGAACCTCTTTGGGGCCGGTTCCGGCCCACAGGTCGTATGTTTGACACCACTGGATTAGGGAGAATACCCAGCCCACACTGAAAAAGGTAACAACATAAAAAGGAACAAACCATGGATTCTAACAAGACCAACCCGAGTTGGTGTGGAAACCCCAACAATTTATGCTCGCAAATCAATGGATCGTCCCTCCACCAGAAACAGTATTATTCTTTGGGGATGAAAATGACCATTGTTATGATGCTATGCAGAGAACCCTTCTGCTGTTGCGCAGAAATTCCCACATTAATATTCTTCAATAACTCATTCGGCTATGTTATAACCAAGTCTTGTGGAATAAACTGTTGAAGCCTTCTCGGATGAAAGGCAAAACATGTCTTTGAAAACAAAACAGAGCAGTTCAGTTGTGAACAATTCGATGTCCTGAGAATGAAATGACCTGGATGAATAGGAATATCCACAAGCATATTGCATATAAATCCTTCACTACCCTACAGTCTTTCAAAGTGTGTGTGTGTGTGTGTGTGTGTGTGTGTGTGTGTGTGTGTGTGTGTGTGTGTGCGCACGCGCGTGTGTGTGTTATAGGGAGCGAGAGTTTAAATGCCACCTGCACAATCTAAAAACTCACTGCCAAACATCTCCATTGACCTTTTCGCCCTCATTATTCACTCTAACTACAGACACCCCGGTGTCTCTTTCACACCAGAAACAGTTGAAAGGCCTCTGCTACACTGAACTGATTTCACCTCCACTTAACCTGGAGGAAAACACACTCCACCCGGAGTAGTAGGTGTATGGTGCACTATACTTCTGTTCACAGGGATGTCTCCAGGATTTTTCTTTCCTGGGGCTAATGTGGGGGTTCACTGATAATAATTAAAAAAAAAAAAGCGGTGCTGATAAATAAATAAATATATTTTTTAATGTCAAATAAAATGCTGGAGGAGCTTAACTGGGGCTGCACAGATTTCTGACGGGCATCAGCCGTAATACCTGTCTTTTCACTTCATTGCCTATCACTATTCCTGTCACCAGAAATTATTGAGTGTTAGAATATGATACCCTCAAAATATGGTCACCGTGGTCTAGTAAGAAAAGTTTCTTGATGCAAATTCACAAGATGTTGATGATAACTGAATGAAAAATATAAGTTACGAGAAAGTTTTCTTCGAAAATAGTTGAGTGTTAGTTGTTGCACAAAATGTAACGTTAGAATTTTGAATGTGTAGTGTAATTACAATGACCATTTATAATGCATCATTCCATCCATTTTCTAATCTGCTCATCTTCACAAGAGTCGCGGGGGGTGCTGGAGCCTATCCCAGCTGTCTTTGGGCAGTAAGCGGAGGACACCCTGAACCAGTTGCCAGCCAATCGCAGGGCACACAGAGATGAACAACCATCCGCACTCACACTCACACCTCGGGACGATTTTGAGTGTTCAGTCAGCTTGTCAGGCTTGTTTTTGGGATGTGAGAGGAGACCCCAGTACCCAGAGAAAACCTACGCAGGCACGGAGAGAACATGCAAACTCTACACAGGAAGGCCGGAGCTGGAATCGAACCAGGTACCTCTGACTTATGAGGTTGACGCTCTAACCACTGGACCCCTGGGCCGCACCTATATTAACACATTTAATTTAGTTTGTGACTAAAATACAAGACACGTGTCTCAATTAGTATTTCGCCATTTATATTTATCCACTATTTTATACTGGTCTACTTAATAGTTTGCCTCTGTTAACTTTGTTCCTTTTCTTTTCATGCAGTCTCCTTTCTGTGCCGTTGCCTCAGTATATCTGGGCTGGAACATCACTGTCTCTGTAATTGGCTGTCATTGTTAAATCGTGGTGGAACAAGACTGGTCGTAAGTGAATATGTGGGAATATGTTCACATCAGTCGTACCTGTCACAGTGGGTGCTCGTCATTAAGCAAAATATAGAGCAGAGACATTGTATCAAGTATCAAGTACAAGTTTATTGTCAAATGTGCTCTATGTGTAACATACAGCACAGATGATTGTATCTACATGTGCAATGACTGTGGAACCAATATGTTATGCATTTGCTCTCAGCAACCCAAAAAAAATCCATTGTAGAGTATGTGGCACTACTTTTTGTCACTATTGGATACCATCCAGTGTGTCGTGGCATGATATTGAGATGTACTCTAGCACCTGTTCAGTAAGAAAAGTAAAAGTGTGCAGCAATCTATGAAACTGGTCTTTGTTTATTTTTCTTCGGGGAGTGGGGGCGGGGTGGGGGGGGGCTCACCCTAGGAAACGCTAACTGGAGGTGGAGACGATCGTATCTGGAAAATTCGGACACACTTTGATAACACCATTAAGGAAGGGACAACTTTTTCAGGGGTGGGGAACTCCGGTTCCTTGAGAACCATATCATGCCTGAATCAGAAGTGTTGGAGTAGGGAGGGATCTAAAAGAGGCAGGATCTGGCTCTCAAGGAACCGGAGTTCCCTACCCCTGATTTATGTGAAATGAGTTGAACAGAATTGTCTCGCTAATGAGATCGCCGACCAGAGAAAAATGGCCATATTGCTCAGCGTTCTGGGTGCGAAAACAGCCTCATTGCTACTACTAAACTGGCTGATAAAACCTTTGACGACATAACGGCAATTCTTAAAAAAAAAAAAAAAAAAAAAAAAAGACTTAAATCACTGTTAGTGATTGCCACCGCTTCAGATTTCACGAGAGTAACAAATCAAAGGCTGAGTCCATGTCAGAGTACATTTCTGAGCACTGTCGGTTTGGAGAGGCACTATCTGACGTGCTATGTGACCATTTCGTCTGCGGACTTCACAACGAGCCCGACCAGAAATGCCTTTTATGACAAGCCATTTGAGCATTTATTCCATATCTCTGACATTAGACATTAGTGTGTTACACTAGTTTGGTCTTTTTCAGCTAAGTGGACACTCAGCTACACTTGTTATGGACTTGTTGCATACAAACTAACTATTCATTTTCAGCAACATGTTAACATGTCAAACATGGATTATTCTCACATATTAAACGAGTGACCTATGATTTCCCGAACTAGTTAACGAGTGAGAGCTGAAATTCTCACCGAAAGTGGTTTTAATGAGGTTATTCATCGAGTCTGGAATGCCCTTGATGTTGCAAGATGAGAACTGGTGGTGCGGATGGAAGAAAACAATTTATAGACACAAGAAACACATTTCGGAGATGAAGAAGAGCACGCCTGATGCTAACTTTTTCACAGCATATTGGCTCTATTAATTTTGTATTCATTTTATGAGTTTCAATCAATATTATGAATAAAACGCTGAAAAATAAATGGGAGTTTTTAGGACATGCCTTTTATTTGGTACTGTAGAACTGAGTGTCAGTATATAATAATGAGAAAGAGGAATCAAATTTGTCTTTAGCAATGTTGAGATTGTCCATCCATCCATCCATTTTCTGATCCGCTTTACCCTCACAAGGGTCGCGGCGCGTGCTGGAGCCTGTCCCAGCCGTCATCGGGCAGTAGGCGGGGGACACCCTGAACCGATTGCCAGCCAATTGCAGGTCACACAGAGACAAACAACCATCCGCGCTCACACTCACACCTCGGGATAATTTAGAGTGTTCAATCAGCCTGCCATGCATGTTTTTGGAATGTGGGAGCAAACCGGAGTACCCGGAGAAAACCCACACAGGAAGGCCGCAGCTGGAATCGAACCCCGCGCCTCTGCACTGTGAAGTCAACACGCTAACCACTGGCCCACCAAGCCGCCCATCTTGAGATTAGATTACCCCAATTTGCTGAAGGTACTACATACTCTGTTTTTATACAGAAACACAAGCATGTGCTCATGGGACAAATGGAGTCTGGAGAGTAAGGCTCCTTCCTGTTGCCAAATTCTGATCATCTTGCCCGTCCACCTCATTCAGAATGCTGTAAACTGACCAGAATTGGTTTGGGTAATACACAAACTACTACTTTTCACAGTGAGACTGTATTATTTCTGTGTGTGTGTGTTTTCTTTTTTCCCCCCAGCTGGTAAATGGTTTTGGATATGACTGAAGTTAACTTAATCAAGCAATTGGAGCACAAATTATGAAATACCTTGCACAAACAAAATGGCACACTTAAAATTTACACTGCTTTTATCGACCGATCAAAGTGTTATTGTGGGATGTTTTACCATTTGAGGACAGCGTAAATGACAGAACAAGGGGCAGTTAGAAATTTTAATGTCATTTAATGTAACTTTTATGTTCAAATACCCTACATATGATCCACAAGGCGAGGGTGAAATACAGTATATGTAGTCCAGATGTTCACAAATGCAGATATCACTTTGCTTTACTTCTTTTTCACGGCATCCAAAATGAGCTTTGAAGACCCTCTGATTTTCGTCACTGGAGCAGATGAAGTTCCTGTCCTGGGTTTTCGCATCAAACTCCGTATTGACTTTTCTGATCAGGCTGAGGGCATGATGTGCTTGTACCTGCCAAGAGGTGTTACACATGAGAATGACCTCCAAAATGAGCTTACTAGTGAACTAGTGGGCATTTTTTACCTTACATGTTCACTAGTAAACTCCAAAATGACTTTATTGGTGAACTAGTGGGCATTGTTGAACTTACACCTGCTTTAAAGAGTACAAGAAACATTGTCCTGAAATGTCACATATTCATGTGAAATTGAAGACATACACTGGTCCAAAAGTCTTACCATTGGGAAAACTCAAGGTTAAAGTCAAATATGAAAAACAAACCTGTAACTTTGTGCAATTTGAACTAAAACATATTTGGACAACAATGGCGAAGTCGAATCAAACAAGTTTGAAGATCAAATCTATGAAGAATGTCTCAAAGCAGCATGCAGATACACAATCGGTACAGATAATTAACAAACCTGTTCAGTGAAGGCATAGGA